ATATGTTCCAAAAATTCTTTGTTCTAACTATAAGAAAAAAGATTAAAAAAATAGTTAAAATTCTGTTTTTTTGGAAATTTGTGATTGAAATTGATTTTTTAGTAATATTTTGAGAAATTAAATTTTTGAAATTTATTTTATTAGGATTCTATTTATAATTCTTTTAATAAAATAAAAGGAATTGTCAATATCCTAATTATATGTGAACCTTACTGTAATGAGGAATTGATTAGGTGAATTAGGATAAGATTATTCTAAAAAATTGAAGTTTTACTTAAAAATTCTAAAAAAAAATTAAAATTCTAAAAAACAATCAAGTTTTATTAAAATACATTACAATATCTATTTTCACATAAAATCTTAATACATCTTAGAGTTTAGTGTGACAAATAATTATACTAATATAACATAAATTAATTTAAAAAAACTATATATACGATTATTTATTATCTTAGAAATGAAATGATTAAATTTTTTGATGAAAAAGAAAATACAAAGATATAAGCATAATGTTATCTTTGCATATGAAATAAGTAATATTAGATTGATGGAATTTTTTAAGGTTTTTTGAACATTTTATTAAAAATATAATAATGCATATTTTTAAGGGTAATATAGTCAATTAATTTTTTTTTTATAGAAATTGATATTTATACATAGAAAATAGATAATTAAAAGAGATGTTAAAGATAATTTGAAAAATCTATAAGGATATGATGATAATTTAGATATTTAATTGTGATGATGGGGTGGTCTTTGTAATTCTTTATAAGGGCAAAATAAATTCAAAATTTTTTCATATTAAGGTACTTTTATTAATAGTATATGTAGATATAAATATAGTTATATAGAGAAGTCCATCTAACCCATTGTTGGGGTGTGAAAAAAATAAAATTTTCATTTTTTCTTTCTTTTATGTCTACTTAATTATACAACAGATAATTTATCCGTAAGGATGCAAGTTTTTTTAAAGAGATTTGAGACTTAGTTTGTGGTTGAACTTAAACTTAATTCTTTATCGGATATAAAATTTAATATCGTTTCAACATGATCAGTAATTGAGGTAAGTGCATAAGCTTCTCTCTTTCTACGTGTTACTTAATAACTTTCCTAAATATTATTTGAACCTAGTTCCAAAGTGGTGTTATTAATTGACCTCCATAAGTATGAAGTGTTATGTTTACGCGTATATATATGAATGAATCAACTATGTGTGAAATTACAAATAATAATGAGAGTGATGCCTTTAAAATTAAAATTATGACAACTGCGATGGATGTAGATGAAATTTTTAATCTTGATAATGATGGATTTAAATATGAGCCCCCACTAGAGCCCAAAACTCTCTTAGCAGCTCATATAAGGCGACCCAAGCATCTAGACAATATTCATTGGGCTCGAATTGGACCACGACCTAGTTCCTTAGAGGCCCGATGCAAACGGCCCGGTATAGGGGCCAGTTTGGAGTTAACAAGCTTGGTATAAGTATCAGCTCGGAGAATGGAAGCGCGACACCAGGCCAGTCTGCGAGAGCTACAACATGACGTGTGGACAGGGGGACAATGAGACATTACTTGACAATTTTGATGAATGAAATCCCACCGATAGTGGAGATGACTCATGCACTGCAGCTGATGAGTAGTGGGTGCAGAAAAACGTTAGGGACCACAACTTTGATAACAAGACAAGCACAAAGGAAACCACATAATCAGCTAAAATGGATCAACACAAAAACTCTAACAGCCAAATGCTTAAATAGCTAATGATACTACACAAAGAGTCATTCAGGGAATTACCCAACAGAAACCTAGGCAATATCCAGTAAAATGTTTCAAGCCAAACACCTTGTAATCGTAATCTTTTTTCTCAAGTAATACAATTCCCAAGGAGTAAGCATCTTCATTACAGTAGACGTAACTTTAGTCTTTTAGTTAAGGCAAACCAATCATACTGTTATTTTCATCTTGCATCATATACATATACACATATACTCCTACATACATATGCATTAATTGGCCCTCCCCTAGGTTAGTCTGCAGTCTAGTCCAATTGATTTCGAGCATCATTAAATCTTTAGTTATTAAAACGTATAAAAGGATAGCATTACGTTTGAGTATTCTTATGAGGAATATATATTATAAAGAAAAAAAATCCATTTGGTGACATTTGTAGGACTTATATATATTTAACTTTTAAGACAGGATATGAGTGTTGAGCTTCCTAGCAAAGCTTCTAACAAAGAAATTAGGTTGCTCACTTCATTGATTTGACTTTACTTTACTTAAAATTAAAGATAAGGACAGGGTAGGCAGTGAAGACTCATTTAGTAGACAATGATTTGACTTCAATTTACTTAAGATTAAAGATAGGGGCAAGGTGGGCAGTGAAGACTCATTTAGTAGACAACAAGCGAGCAGCAAGCTGCGACTTTGACAGCCAACAAACAACTACTCTTATCAAAATGAAAAACAGCAAGCATAACTTGAACACGCACGAACCTTTATTAGAGAAAGCCATTGCACGCTCAACAAAAAAAGATAGGTTACACGCATAAATTATAAATATTGATGATGCATAAAATTGTTTTGCACACCACCTGTCAAGTAATTGAAAATAAATACAGTAATTGAAAGTAAAGAGAGTTGGGGGAGACAATATTTATAGTGGTTTGGTCAACATGACCTACATCAACTCTTGAATGGCTTTGATCGCCGGGTATTTTATTAGCTCAAGAGTGTGGAGAGCAGAGAGTACAAGCTTTGAGGGAGAGGAGATAGTCGTGCTCGGGTAAAAGTGTCATGCCCCGCAAGTGTTGGTGGGACATGCAATTTATAGTGGTCTCTTAACAGATTGAAACTACTTTATAGCAACTAAACGACTATTTTGGTAGAGCTCACGATTTTTTCTCAACGGGCGAGGAGGTTGCGGAGCTCTCCATGAGATGCGGTCAAAGATGAGGTGAGGGTGGACTGTTTTCTCGGCGTTGTAGGCAAGGCTCCCATGCTCTCCCTTTTGATGACGTAGCCAAGCAGAGAGTTTGACTGATCTTGGATCATATTAGGTTTGGTGGGTCTTTTATAAGATTGGGCTCCTTAATTGAGACTAGGCTTTCCACCTAAATTGGTTGATTTGGGCTTGACCCATCAAATATCAGGCCACCTGTAATCTCATTCATTAACTCATAAAAGTAATTACAAAGCTGAGCCAGAATGTATGACTTTCTATCTTTCCTCGTGTACTCTTTGGTCACCAATGACTGTCGCCAATGTTGTTGGATCATGGTCTATTAGCCCATACCTTAGTTATTCAGAAATAAAATTAAAATAGTTTTTGCTTAAAACATATTCGAGCCTATTCAAATCAAGTCTAACGTTATTTGAATTTAACTCATACAAAATAAAGTTTGAAATTTGGTCAAATTCTACCCATGTTATATTTTGATTAAGTCGAAATAGAGAGAGCACGTTGTCTCATCCTGCATTTTAGAAAGTTCTAGAGAACCTTAGAAAGAGATTCTTTATTTTAAAATATTCTTGAAAGAAGTTTTTAGATTTAGAGGGCTATAGAGAAACTTAAAGAATGTGTAAAGTATTCTAAAACTATGACACTAGTAGAGTTTATTGTCGCACATTGTATACTTGTAAGTCTATATAAAAGGGTGAGTTATTGTTAGACTCACCGAATGCCCCGTTAAAAGAAGGAATGGATGTCGTTTCTTTTAACGGGCATTCGGTGGAAGGTGTCATGAAGATTTCCTTCATTTCATTAGATCTTTTAATATCCCTATAATGGTTTTGGGTGGAGGAGGCCATACCCGGTTTTCCTCTCTACCTATTTCTATCATATCCAAATTTTTTCCTTAAATACATAAAATTCAATTCGTTAATAATAATGTTGGGTGGAGGAGGATAGACGTCTGCAAATGTTGCTCGTTGTTGGTGCCATAGGTTTCTCTCCCTCTGTGTCTATCATTGTTACCCAGATTTTTCTTGGAACTCGATCCAATAAAATTCAATTTGTTAATGATAGGGTCTCTTTCCCTTGTCAAGAAGCTCAAGAATCAATTGAAAAATAACAAGAGTCTATTGAAAATGAAGGAAGTGAAACAAGGAGAAGTTCGCTACAAACAGGATATAATCTGCAATTGATTTCTTCGTCTTTTCATTCACTGGGCTTTTTAGCTCATATTTTTAAAATAATATTTTTTCAGGTAAACGATTGGAGTGTCAATAGCAGACTCAGGGCATTGATTGGGAATTAATAGTGTTGTGACCTCTGTAGCATATATCGTATGACCATCTTTACTTGTTTGGATAATTGGGAGAAACAAGTTTAGGTATGTTGACTTTGACATATTGACATGAGATCAATTTAATGTTAATGTTGTTTTTCACTCCTATATTATTAGTTTATTGTTAGGTTTATGTGTTCATGAATCTATGGTTCACAACCGGTCATGTCCTTGGAGTTGGGGTGTGACAGCATGTCTATCCATCATGAACCTTTTAGATTGCATCTTCATTTCAATTCATTCTTCTTGACATGGAAACTTAATCCATTGTCGGTTTTATTACTTTTATCATGCATCAGTGAGTGATTTCTTCGTGGATCTGCCCAATAACATCGGCTTTGTCTTTTCAAATTTTGCTTGTTTATCAAAATTGGCCTTTGGTAATTCTCCTTGAGCATGGTTGTAGTTATGCTCACTTTCTCCCCTTTCTAACTCCTTTAGACTTACCTTAAAAGGTTTACTTAAGTTGGCATGATAACGTTACAAGTGTTTTAGCATGTATTTTTTGTGATGACATCGTTGGATGGAGTATATTGTAGATGTGGTATTTTAGTCTTGAGCATGTGTTTTTTTTAAAAGATAATGACATTGCTAATGTTGGTGACATTGCTAATGTTGGATATGTTAAGAGAGCTTGTATCCCACATTGAATAATGTTTTTTCACCATTTTAGTTCGTGTTTATTCTGATTTTACTGGAGGATTTGTGGATGCAGGCAGAAGAGGACTGGGATACATTTCTTGATGAGGATTACAAGTTTGGTAGTTATGATGAGAAGCTATTGAACTCAGAAGAAACTAGAAAGCCTCCTAGTTGCATTCATATATGGGGTGGAGGTCAGATGGCGAAAAGTTGAATACGAGGTAAAAAAGGCAGCAAAAATTTGTTGTGACCTTGCCAATAAAAAAAAGGAGTTAAAGAATGTTTTGGGCAATCAATTAAGGAGGCTGATTGAGGACATCAAAAACTCAGGAATCAATCTAAAAATGTCAAGCGCCTATTGAAGAAAAAGAGAGAGAAAGAAGGAAAAGTTCGCAAGGAACTAGATATACTTTGCAACAGACTTCTCCTAGAAACCAATTATTTGCATTTCTAGCAAGGAATGTAAAACTATTATCAGGTTGATTGAAAAAGATGAGTGGTTGGGCTCTGTGAAGATCTATGACAAGACGAGCTATTCGGATTGCAAGGCAATCCAATAAGTCACAAGGGACCAATGTTGAGGTGGACATGCAACGGATGCTTCAACGCCATGCTTGAAGGAGAAGGCAGAGAGATCTTTGTGCATAATTTTCTATTGTGTTTTAATATCTTTCAGACTCTTCATTTCATTACACCCACTGTCAAAAATCAAGATTTCAAATTCAAGAATCATGCCTACAATGTATATCTTCTGTTTTTCTGTGATAATTTTCTTCCGATTGCCCAATATTAGATCTTCATGTTTCCAAATTAGCTATGTCCCATGCTAATGCTAATATAATCACCAAACTCTGGTCAAAGAGACGTGCTATACTGCCTTGCCCTTTGGTTCAGGTGGTATAATGGTGGCATGGAGTTCATTATTTATTTTGTATATTTTTAAAAATATGGTTGTCAAGAACAATTATCTAGTTATCAAAAGTGCGCGTGTGTGTATTTATGTGGATGTATGTATGTATAGTTTCACTTGTATATGAATCGTGAAAATTGCTCCTTCCCTATTATGTTGAACTTAACATGATGTTGTCTAACCATGGCATTTGCATACCACACTAAGGTTTTTACATGCCAGTAAAAATCGCTTATCGCTGGGAGAAGGTTTTAACGGTTTCTTATTGTTTTTTCCTTATGTCAATGAAATTAATGTTCTTTGTGGGTTTTATTTTTCAAATAAAATTATAATAATATTTCAATCTTTATGCGGATGATCATAGTTATTTGTGAAACCAAGGGCTGATTTGGCTTCAAAAACAAGCCTAATGCTTTCTAAGGGAGACGATTTCAAACTTTTTTCCAAGTCTTTCCCTCTAAAAAATGGAGATTTGATTTGACTGAGCCAAGATGCATTGATGTGGGATGGCTATGATGATCTAACGATCCTTGCTGGTGCACGGATGAGAGTAGTTTGGGGGATTTTCCCCTACTTTTTTAGTTTGTGCACTTTGATATCCATTGCTTCTGTTTTGCTTTAAATTTCCGTGACCTTGTCATAACACTTGTGTAGGAGTTGCCGACACAATTGCCTTCAATAACATTTACAAGGATGAAGCATGAAAAATTCAGGCCGGAGATGAATGTGTTTTTCTACCTGGAAAGTAAACCAGAGTGCATTTACAGGGTTGATATATCGTTTGAAAGTAAGTTGGGCACCAAACCTTTTTATTGCATTTCCTTCACAACACATCAGTAAGTTACACAGTTACAACCGAAATGTAAGGCAAGGAGCTAGACACATCCTTTATGTTATGAGGTTTTGACCAAGTTTCAGTGCTTCTGTCAATTATATAAGTACCCTAGCTACTTTAAACAATGGATCCTTTGTATAGATTGCTTGATGGGATGTCTAATGTTTTGCTGACTTGTAATCTTAATGCACAGTAAGAACTGCTCATTACTCATTCAAAAACGTTGCTCATGAAATTATTTAGCATTGCCTCTCCTTTAAACATCTTGGTGAACAATCCGCACAGGTGGCTCCTTCGACTCCCTGGTTTCTCTTTGGTTTAAGCTTGGGGTGGGTCCAATGTGTGTGTGTGTGAGAGAGAGAGAGAGAGAGAGAGAGAATTTTATTAATAACACTAATAAAATAGTAGGGGATTACATCAATATTTACAGCCCCTCAGGGTACATATTTGAACTTGACATTTTCCATCACCACGATTCAACACTATCAAATCATGAAAACTAAACTGGTACAGGATATTACATCATCCATGTAAAGTTCAAATGCCTCACCTGGCTTCAATTCTGCTTCCCCAAAACCAAGTTCATAAAGAACAGTTATTGGACACAAAATCCCGGGTGGACTGAAGTGATATGGATGTAGATATTACAAGTCTAGTCACTTGCAAATGATCATCAATGTAAGAAACTTTTCGAGGCCAAAAAAAAAAGGAATATGTTTGAGAACTTGCAATCCTCTTAGATATATGACCTTCGTTAGTACAAGAATAAACCCTCAGGCAAATAAGACAACATTCTTTCTTTGCAACAATAAGCAATACAACTCTTCCAATTGTTATGAAGAAGCAATATTCACAATGGCATCTTACCCATGTTCTTATGTCCATGACATACTTATCTCGTGTATAGGAATTACTGTTATTACTTTGCGGACATATATGATGCATGAAATTTATTGGTTTTTCATTGCATTCATTACTGCCGCGGACTAATGCACCGTTTGGTGGAAAAGATGGAAAGTAGGAAGGATAAAATATGAGGGATACATTTTTCTTCATTTGCGTTTGATTGAATAGATGAAAAATAAAAATGACTAATTTTTTTTTAATTTTTGTTTGTGATAGCTAAGATTAGGGTTGATAATCGAGTCGTATCGTGTTAGATTCGTATTGAGTCATAAAATTATGAGTCTTTTATATTTCTTGTTCGCGTGTCAGGTCATTTTCAAGTTCATGTCATAAAATTTGTGTCGAGTTCGAGTTATGTCATCGTGTTGAGTCAAAAATTTTTACCTCTAGTTAAAATGAAAAAAATATTTCTTTTTTAATTATATATATATATATATATATATATATCATTATATTTTTATATGAAATTAATGTATACACAACATATATAGATAAATAAAATACATCTCAACACAAATAATTAACTTTTCTTCCACTTTCCTTAAAATTTTGGAGGGATTGATTTTGGTGAGTTATAAGGAAAGTTAATCCATCCTTCCTACTTTCCTTCCTTACCAAACATGATGTTTTATCTATCCTTCCAACATTCCATCATTCTATTTTTTTATCGTACCAAACGGAGTATAAGACATCATTCTCTCATTTATCTCATCATCTGAACTCCAAGCACCTTTGTTATTACTTTCATAGCTATTTAGAGTAAGCAATTCTAAGATATTCTTCTCAAGAGACAATAGTGAGGCCATGTGAGGGTTGTGGGGGGTAGACATCAATGTAAGCTCATAGTCGCACCCATGGCGTTTCAGCCCTTCTCTCTTCGCCTCTCTACCAGCTTCTTCCTCTCTGTCATCTCTATATGAGGCACGGGCTGCAATTGGAGATCAGGACCCTACCCTCCTTCGCCCCGAACACGCTTCTATGAACCGATTCTGGTGCGTCTTCTGCGATTCTGACATCGACGAGCTCGGTAGCTCATTCGCTTGGTAAGTACCTCAGTTATTGTTTCTACGGATTTCCATTGTGATATTTTTGGTTGCTGAGGAAACGTAGGGGAAGAGAACAATTTAAAACTTTGAAAATATGTATTTATCAATTATGTTGGAAAAGAAAAGAATATTATCCATTGAGCTGTGAATTAGATGAAATTCTGTTTGGAACTAGAATCCTTGATACAAAATCATTGATAACTACAAGTTTCTCGATTTGTGGGTACCTGGCATGATCATTATGGTATTCGTTTCCGATTTTATTCTATTGGTTTTTTGGATTTGTGATTTGAACTTTGTTGTCAGTGGTAATTCAATTAATCATATGGCGAGTGCGGATCACTTGAAGAATTGCAAATCATTGAAGGGGGTATAATATTTACTACTTTTTGTTTGTCTGTGGTTACAGTGGGAGAAGAAGTGCAAACCATTGAAGAATGAAACTCCTAGCGAAGGATCTCATAGTGCTTTGATCGGACCTTTAAATGATATCCACAATGAATTGAACTCTGAATACACAGATAGTTTTGACAAAAATAATATCCACTCTCTTAATTCAAGTTGTTCAAATAGTGTTGTGCCTTTACAAAATTATACAACTGAGAGATATCAGGTATCCCATTCAGAATTATATTGAGTCTCTGAGGCTGGCCCTCTTCTCCATGATGCTAACTCATATTTGTATGTGGGCACACAGTCTGATACAAATCCATGGGGTTCAAAGGATTTAACAGGTACATATTTGATATAACTAGTAAGTTATTTCTCTTATATTATGAGTGAGAGTAGTCATAGTAATGAGTTTTTTATTTGTGATCTGACTTAGGTTACTTGCATAGCCAACATTCTGTCCTTTCTAATGGTGGGATATGCTCTGTTGATGGTTATATTTGTAACACAGAGGTAAGCTTACTTACCACTGATTTTAGGTACATGTTGTATTCTTAGTTTTTTGTTTGTTCTTTTTAGGCTAATGTGTTTTCAATAAGGTCTTATTTTGGGTAGTTATTGCCTTGCTGATAAAATTTTTTATCACAAGCTCTTTATTGTATAATAGTCTTGCCTAGGTCCTAAAATGGGGTTGGAGATCTTGTTTGTAGGAGAAGATAAGAACTCTAAAAATGGACGAAATAAGATTTTTTTTGAGGTAGACCAATAAAATAATAGTGTATTCATTCAGAGAAAAGTAATTTTTATGTGGTCTCTTTCCTATCAAGGCCAATTCCCCTCACTATCTTTGCAATGTTGAGCTTATCGAGGTTCTGAATTGACACATCTTCAGTTCCAACTTTCAGCTGGCAACAGCAGTTGCTCATAGCAATGTTGCATTGATGGGGTTTTATGTCTAATCTTCAAGGGTGAGCTTTATGATCTGATAGATTTGGGAAGAAATTTTGAACTTTAATTCATGTAACTTTAAACTTAGGAATGAAGAGTGTAATTGTGAGTTAAGAAGTCACCTCCTTTACCTTTACTTTTTGTTCTCACGGCTTTGTTGTACCTCTTTACTGTTGGCTCTATGAGTTGTTTGAACTTCATTTTCATTTAAACTCTAGTCTGTGTCGTGATTATCGACGTATCTTTTACACAGCAAGTTTGAAGCCTGGATAAAGAAGTGTTGGCCTAAAAAGCCCTCTTTCATAGTTGTTCATTTGAAATGAATGACCAATTTTGAATAGTTTTTCAGATAAGATGTGTATAGAAAAGACAACTGTGTGGCTGACAGCTTGGCCAATATAGCTGTGCATAATGGTTTTTCTACTCATTTTACTGTGTCTGCTGATATGCCTTGTTTAGTGAAATGGATGCTGTTGCAAGATCAGATGGGATTACCTGTGGTGAGAAAGAAGAAGGTGATTGTTTTTGATGATAATGGATAATGGAGGTAGTTTTGTTGTTGACTGGGTCTAGATAGACTGTAGTGCTGGGAGTGTTTTATGACGCTGCTGTGCTGATGTGTGCCTGTGTTGCTGAATTGCTTTGCTGTGCTGTGAATGGTTTTTGAAGGATTAAAGTCTTTTAGCTGTATTGAATATGTTTAGAATTCTTTTAATTCTTTGATTCTTGTAATTTCTTGATTCAATCAATAAAAATTTTCTTTTCTTAAAAGAAAAAAGAATAGCTTTTTATTTTGATTTCTTTTTGTGAACTTATTTTTGAAGGAATTTGTTTTCTAATTTTTTAAAAATTTATAGGGGTTTAATTTTTTTCAATGGATTCTCTTTTTTTCTAATTATAAATTTTTTTACACAAATTTTAAAGGCAATCGCAATCATAAAAAAAAATTGTTATTAATTATTTTTAGTCATCGTGGATATTTTGGTTAAAGTTGATTCTATTTCAATGAAAAAATTATTTTATCAAAACATAAAAATGAAATGAACATTCTATTTTAACACTTAATTCTAAACAGCTGTCAAACATTGGAATAGTAATGCGTATTTCATTCCATTTTCAAGTTTATTTCATTCTTAAACTCATTTCATTCCTATTAAAAAACATTACCGCGTATCAAACACAGCGTTATAATCAGCACCCTTTGGCATGTTTGAACGAGATCACATAGAACGGGAGCGAGGGTAGGAGAGAGAGTGAGAGCATAAAATCAGTAAAATTCAAAATCATTTGAGAACGAAAATGCCTTGATAGTGCTGTATTATATGCATCCAAATATACATTTACTCATAAAAATTAATAATGCACAACTATGTGATAAATTATTTAATATTTAAATATATATTGAATACAAAGTCCTAAAATAGCAATTATAAATTATAAATATCATTCTAGCTTGATATGTACCTTTGTGTATGAGTCAGTATTTTTCAAATAAAAATTAAGAAAATAATGAAAAAATAAGTAAGTAAGAGTGCGAATTTGCGAACTGAAAAATTAAATTTGATGAGGGCACAAGGTTGCGAATTGAAAAATTGAATTCATGAATTTTGTAAAATGAGAGCAAAAATTTACGAAAAATTCGCTCTCAAAGAGTGAATTCGCATGGAACACTAAATCGTCGACTGTTTTGAAAGATTACGTGACTAAGATTTGAGCACATAATCGCGTGTTTGCTGTGCAGCATTTCAGTGACCATGGAGAACTAGCTCAACTTCTTCTGGCTTTATTTTGTGGTTAATAGTATCCTTCGGGCATTATTGTTTCGAGTATAAAATTTAAGTGGTATAAAATTTTATATTCATTCCACTTTAATTCAATAGATATTATATCCGGTGTTAAACTATAATCTCATTCTTCTCTTTGTTTGTTTATTAAAAATATTATCTGTGTAATATCTACTTAAAAAAGTTAATAATTACGGCTAATCAATGTAAAAAACAATTTTAACCTTTAAAAAATCAAAAATTGCGACTAGACTTTTATATGAGAATTCTATCGAAGGACATTTCGGTTTTTTTAGTTTATAATACTTATACCAAGAATATAAGACCACCCCCTAGGTGGTATTCATTAAAACATGACTACTATTCATAACGGGTCGGTATTACGATCCGAAAAATAGTACTGACTATAAAATGCGAAACAAACAACGTATAAGATAGATCCCACGTACTATTTTTCTAATATCAACTTCTTATACCACTCTAATTCTCAAAACAATCGACCGTTCTAGTATCAAATGCCAAAAAACTCAGTTTATTGCAATATATAGTACTGGATGATAGGCGATGTACAAGATGGGCAAACCTCGATTTATGGATTTATCCCATCGACATACCATCTCACAAAGATCACACTAAAGGCATTGTGCTACTGCGGTCAAGAACAGAACTTCGATTCTGACTGGTATCTTTGTAGTATCTGATGTCAATTTAAAATCGTCCTTCTGCTTGCTGTTACGGTCACTATATCCTACTGAGACCCCATGGCCAAGTTCCCCAAACTTGCCTAACTTAATGGGAGAATGCAGAGAGCCTTATTTCGACCATATAGGGTCAGAAACACGAACTTTGCTCCCCATCTTGCTCTATCGGTTGTCCTGACACCGAATACTTGTGTTCTGGATTGGAGATGCCACATAATAGGTGTTCATCCTCAAGATGGGTGCCGTAAAAGTGCCTGCCTGTTGCTTCAGATACCTGGGTGCCATAACCCAATAGGAACGACTGTTCCTTCAGACTCTGATCTCTACTGTTTACTACTATTTGTATAGATGCTCCAAGTCTTATTCTTATTGCCAGAGTGATCCAAGTTTCAAGTCAATATTGCAGTTTACGGAGCTATGATTCCAAATGCAAGGGATATTAACTCGTTGGACAGAAGGAAACCATCTGGATCACTGAGCCGTATAAACGCCAGATCCTCAATTTTGTCCTCATCCGACAGCAAGAAGGTCGATTCATCTGCTGAAATGTTTCTCCCCTGACCATCCAAGCATACCACATGCCCACTTTCCACATAAGGTTTATAAACCTTACAAAGAGAGAGAACAAGTGAACCGCCGAAACTTTCTCGGAAGGAGTGTAAGTCTAATCCTCTTCCAGTTCTTAGAGAAAGCATCACGACGTCCATTGCCATGTCCTTTGCATCAATTTGATTTTGCTCACTACAATCTACCACGCCATTTTCCAGACTCTGCACGTAATTTGTGTACTCTTTCAGCTTCCTTGGCCTCGAAAACCTTACCCCACTTACATAACTGGCAGAACCAAGGCCAAAACCATAAAAACCTTTGTTCTTCCAGTAGGTCAGATTGTGCTGGCACTCAAAACCACTTTTGCAGTAACTACTAATTTCATAATGGTTGTAACCAGCATCAGTAAGCATTCTCGAGGCCATTCTATAGAATTCCGCAGATTGTATCTCAGAAGGCAGAGGGAACTCCCCTGGTGTGTACCTGTAAACACTGCATTGTCAAATTCACCGCAGATAAAACACTATTTTTCAATACTACAAATGACTTACAGTATGCCAAATTTGGTGCCTTGTTCAACTTGCAGATCATACACTGATACGTGGGTAGGCTGTGCTTCGATAGTGAGCCTCAGACTGCTTTCCCACATTTCTGGTGTTTGGTGAGGGAGAGAAGATATGAGGTCCATACTCCAATTCTCAACCCCACAAGACCCAACAATCTCAATTGCCTCGTGAACCTCCTTGACACCATGTGCTCTACCACAAGCCTTCAATAACTCCGGTTGAAATGCCTGAACTCCCAAAGACACTCTATTCACCCCCAACTCCATTAACTCCTCCATTTTTACCCCATCAAATGTCCCAGGGTCCATTTCCATAGATATCTCAGCATTTGCACACAACCTAAATTTCTCACGTAAAGTGTCAAGAACCACGGAAACAAGTCTTGGTGGCACAAGTGAAGGTGTGCCACCTCCAAAAAAGACTGTTTCAAGAGGTGGGTTAGCATTTAATTCTTGTTTGGTTGCTTTGATTTCTCTAAGGAGGAGCTGGATGTAGCTAAGAATTCGTGGGTCGTCTTCGATTTTGGCTGAAGAGGAGCCAAGAGCGACTATTGGGAAGTCGCAGTAGTGACAGCGTTTTCGACAGAATGGGAGGTGGATGTAAGCTGAGGTTGGTGGCAGCTTGTATGGTGGGAGTGTAGTTGGATGGTTAGGTGAGGCATTTTGTCGAACAGTTTGTGGGGTTTGTGTGAATGCATTGGTTATTGTGTATGAAAGTTTTGGAGGTGGTTTGATTTTAGCGGGAACGGTTGTTAAAATGGGCATGAATGAGGATTTGAGCATCATGGTCTGCTGGTGATTTGTCGCTTCACAGAGGGAGAGAGAGCTATAGCGCACCAACGAAGACTCCTCCTTAATAAAACCTCCCAATGGGTCGGGTCGAACTGAACCTAAGTGGGCCTTTTAAAGTAAGGTACTAGAAAATAGAAACCATTTCATAGGCAATACCTGCCAAATATATTTGAGTAAATTATATATATAGCCTTCAAACTTTGATTTTTATGTCAATTAAGCTTCTTAGCTTTTTTTTTTTATATCAATTAAACTTTTGAACTCTCTAATTATGTCAATTGAACCCTTCTATCTGCCTACGTTAGATTTTCTAACAAAAAATGTCAAAATGTGTCACTCATGTGATACAAATGGTTAGAGTAAATTATACATATAATCCTCAATTATGACTTTTGTGTTAATTAAGTTCTTAAACCTTTTTTTTTTGGGTCAATTAAGTTCATGAACTATTTAATTGTGTCAATTGAGTCTTTTTGTCTTTTTGTGCTATATAGTCATGTCATGTCAGTGACACACTCTAACAAAGGTAAATAAAAGGACTCTATTAAAACAAAAAATAGTTTAGGGACTTAATTGACACAAAAGTCATAGTTTGAGGGCAATATATATAATTTATTCAATATATTTCATTGAGAGTTTTTTTTTCCTAGGATATTCAGGTTTACACTAATTACTCCCTCAAACTCAACAGCTGGCCACTATAACTTGAGCTAGTCTAGAATATGTTCCCAAAAGAACAAGAGTGGTTAACCCTCGAAGAATGTGAAAAATGATTGAAGATGAAATTTGAGTTATTTAAAGATAAACTAACCACTAAACCATTGTTAAGGATTTATTTCATTGAGTTTTAGAAAGTAACTCAGTTTGCTCACAAGTTCGTTCAAAAAAAAAAAATTATTTCACATTTATTAGTAGACCCTACACACCAGTTGCTTGCCCATAAATGTTTTTGAGTTTGAATTTTTGCTATAAATTTCCCAAAAAATTTTGGAGCTCCAATTCAGTATAAAGATTTCTTCTTAACATACTTTTTATAATTTTATGTAATGTCAAATATTTGTGAAATATTTACAAGCGTATAACAAATCTTACTTAAATTCATAATATGTGGTCTACCAGTAAAAAAAAAATAATGTTCTCTAATTACAAGAAAATAAAGATTACTAATATGAAAAGACACTTAAAATTCTTAAAGTGATTCATCTCGGCGTTTGGAAGCTTCGTTCTCCAAATTATGTTTAAAAGTTGATTGAGCGTATTATCTCCAAACACGATGGCAAATTTTTACTCAAGGAGAATTGGGTTCAATATTTTGAAGAAGTAAAAAAAAAAAATCAATAAAAATGCTTTATAAAAAAATTTAAATGTCAAGTTTTTCTTTTTCAGATTTGCCAAGTGATGGATGAACAAGTGTTCATTACGTCGTAATGCCAAATATCACATTCAAATGTTAAGGCAAGCCTTGTATTCAACTCCCGAGTTTTGGAGACAAACAACCAAAATTTTCATAGAAGACGGAAAAAGGGAAAGGAAGAGGCAAACTAAGGTATACAAAAGCAGGATTAAATTACATTAACGCCAACCCTAACTCCAAAACATAGGTAATAAAATTGTTTGGCAATGTACATGTGACATTTTACACAAGACATTTCACCATGTAAGGACCTTCAAGCTCATATCCCAATTTTCTATAGTAATGGCGGGTTCCTACACCAGATATTACAGCTATCTTTGTTGATCGATGCTCCCGACGAGCAATCCGCTCTGCTTCCTCCATAAGCAGCGTACCATAACCCTGGTGTTGCAGCTTATCAGCATCACGCCCATGCACGGGAACTGCTGTCCCATACACATGTAGTTCACGAACAATAGAACACTTCCCCATAAGTTCTGGGCAAGTGGCATTTCGGCCAATTTTTCTCAATCGCAGTAACCCAACGAGGATATCCTGCATCCAAACAGGGAAAAAAGCACATTATGTATTGGCAAGCTCAAGTTGCAGCAGTAAACAAACAAGACAAAACAAGTCATGACATCCTCGTTTGGGTGTAGATTGTAATGAAAATGATGAGTGATGAGAAGAAGAGAGAGGTTCAGTTAACTGATATTGTTCAAAGTTCATTTACAGACTATTGCACGGACCAGATTAAACTACGATGCATGAGGTTTGCATTGTCCAGCAATGTAATAAATTTGCATGTTCCAAGAAATGCAAGCCCTTTTCAGGAGTTTTTCCATATCAAACATAAACTAGATGATGCGAGGAAATACTGAAAAAAGTGTTAGTTGCCACTGAGAATCGTTGATATAGGTAACAAGAAGCCATTATAATTAGACCCTTAGCCAAGTTTGAACACATTTTCACATGTTTGCTGCGCACCATTCCAGACATCACCATCCATGTCAAAATCAATGAGCTTTCCAAGTGGGTAGTAGTACCCCGGTTAGATGTCCTTGATGCGTCATTTCAATGATGGACCTCAAAAGCTGTTTAAAGTGATTCACTTTACCGGGAAATTAAGAAAAATGCAACATTACTAAGCCACTCTGTTGCCCAATAACAAAACAAAAGAAAAATGACAAGCCAAGGGGGCCTCCTAAAAAGATGTCCGGTTCAACCAACCAATAGCAGCAGTTCAACAAACTTTAGATAGTGCTAGTTAAGAGGCACCTTTCAAAATTTTCATAGGAACTTTATTTTTAAGATCACAATGAGAATTTACTCTGACTTTCTCAAGCATGCAGAAATACTCGAGCATAAATCAATTGCGAGACCCAATCAATTATGAAGCAAAAAGATTCCAAGGCACCATGATGTGGATCTGATCATCAATGGGGAACACACTAACATGACAGGGTCGATGCATTATAACAGGTGAGGGGAGAGATTTTTTGCAGGTTGGGGGTGGGTGGAGGTGAAAGAGAGAGAGAATTCCACATACCTGCCGTGTATCTTCATATGAAAGGAAAGTTTCCCAGCCCTCATTTGCTGAATAATCACGGCGAACAAGCTCAACTTTGTCTGGCTTTATTTTGTGGTGAATATCCTTGATGTATCACACAAGAAAATTTGTTGGAATCTATAGTACATGACAAATCCAACAAGGATGAGGATGGTAGTACTTACCTGGATTCCAGCTTCCCGTGTTCTAACATCCCGGCACTTCAAGCCCAAATCATCCATTCTAGCTAAAGCTAGCTCCCGAAGGTTCCCTTTCTCAACACCAGAAGTAACCAGAGGCATAGGAATATCCCGCTGAACTCTATAAACACGTGTCCAAGGGGGTACCATGGCTAAGATCCGAGCTACAATGTCCACAAGCTGCTCAGGCGGGTAATTCCTATACCTGCGCATGGGCATAACTAGTCATTACCAATTTCAATCATACCATCCAATCATCAGCTCACAAAACAAAAGCGACTATCTTGTCAAAAGAGAGTGGGTTTGTCGAATACAGCTAACGATCCACAATGTGAAATCAGGTCAGCTCATATGACAAAAGAAAATTTAAGAAAAAATTAAGTAAGCAGGAATTGAACCAAAATTGACATCAGACCTGCCCGTTTTCCAAAGCTCATAAAGTCCAGTCCCACGAATAACAAGCGTGGGATAAATTTTGAGCCCATCAGCTCTAAATGAAGGGCTTTCAAAGAACTCCTTGAAACTTTCCAAGTCTCTCTCAACCCCAACATTTGGAAGATCAGGCATCATATGAGCAACTACCTGCCACAAATGCAAGAACATTGAAAACCTCGAGAACAAAACAAAAAGGATGCAGAGTTAGAATGGTAAAATTACACCATAGCACCTTGACGTTGCAACTTGCAATAGAATCATCTTTAAGGGAAAGAACGGTAACTGAATCAAAACAGATATGGTGATATGATCCTCGTAAACAGATATGGTGATATGATCCTCGTAGTATGATGCCTAAGAACAATGGGGACAATGCACCCAACAAGTTTATATCCACTAGATTAACGTAAGAAAAAAAATGCACCTTGAAGCCAGCATCCTTTGCCAAGCAAAAGCAATCAGCCACAGCAGCTACTGTGTGTCCCCTATTGGTGTCACGAGCAACATCCTCATATGTGCTTTGAACTCCAATCTCCAGTCGTGTACACCCATAAGAAAGCATTTGCCTCAAATGGGGTCCAAGGCAATAATCCGGCCTCCTAATAATTCGAGAAAGAACAAAGCACATTCAACTACCCTAAGAATTAAATACTGTAAGCTTGCAGATACAATAATACAAGCCATCCTAATTATGACGCGATTTAGGAATGATAACTTTCAATTCCATTTAAGCCTAACAAGGGAAACTGCATAGTGTCTTTTCCTTTTTTTTAAATAATACACATGCACTTAAGCCCCAATCAGGATTCAGGAATGACTTCCCGTTTCTAGGAGGTGGGATATATCATTGAAGCTAATTGTAGTTGTTAAATGGTTCAAAAAAGAAGAATGGAAAACTAGGAAAAAGAAATGAATTATAAGTTTCATCAATTTTGACTTTTATAACGAAGACAAAATCTAGCTAATAGCTTCAGAAGCGGAATATAAACCCATCTCACATAAAAGAGCTTCTCATGTTCGATATGTATTTGTGGTTGTATAAAGTGTTAAAACAGAATATTTATGTGTTTGTGTGTGTGTGTGAGAGAGAGAGAGAGAGAGAGAGAGAAATTCATAGCTTTGACAGCACAGACAATCCAATACTTGTTAACAACTATCTTTGTGCAACCAAAACGTAATCCAGCAGACCACCATGGAGGGATCCATGAAAAGGTCAGCCCCCAACCAAAATGCCATATCAGCCATCACACAAGAAAAATGGGATTCGAATCCAATATGAAGAATTGAAATACTAACTCACGTTTCAATAGTCATCCCAATACACTTTGTTGCACTGTGTTCAGAGTAGGAAACTGCCTCTTCAACATTAGCAGAAGTATGCCCGGATAAAGCATCATGAAGATTTCTTGTGAAATAGTCACGGTATTCTGATGGCAATGACATAAAAGTTCCACCCATCAGGATAAACTCAACCTGCATACAATAAATCCGTCTCAATGAACAATAATATTCGGGATAACCATTCATGAAATTTGCACAACTAAAAGCAACTTATTCAGAAAGCATAACATTAGCCAACCTTATCTACACTGTGACCCAATCGTTTCAGCTGATCTATCCTGCTTCTAGCTTGCACATAGGGGTTATACCTGAATCCATGAAGGCAGCAGTTAAATACTACTGTACATACTATTTTTTGTTAAGAGATAAAGCCAAACATTCAAGCTCATAACAAATTTCTAGACATGAGGTCAGTCACAAATATAAACCACTAGATTCGCCTTTGCCAACATTGTATGCGAGGTACAAGTTTACATTTGTCAAAGAAAGTTATACTAAAGTGGACAAGATGACAAGTTGATAACCCTCAGTGTATCTCGGATCCACAATCAAACCACAATCCCACCAATAATATGGTTCTATCCATTCAACAGGTCTGACTTACTAAGCAAGTGTGCTATTTCAGTTCTTTGAGTTCAAATGCATGGCACTTTGCCCTAATATAGAAATCAATCAATGAATTTCTTGCTCTCTTAAAAAAGGACCTTCAAAAAATTTCCCATATAATAAAGAATTCGAAAAGGAGATTAATGCAAACATTAGCTATCCTCCGGTTACCTGTCACAAGAAAAAAGGTGAAAAAGGAAAAAGAGGAGGCCTTTGTCTGTTTAGGTGCACGTCTGTGACTGTGATTCATGTGTCAATTGTTTTTACAAGTTCCTTTCTTTTTTTTTTGGAGGGGGTACCTTCATCATCCCATTTAATTAGAATCATGGTACATATTTATTTCATTAAAAGATTAATGGCGTCTAAATTAGTAAGTATTAGCCTGATCATTCTCAATAAGAGATTAAAGCCAAGGAGTATTTAGACAAGGAATTCCACTCCGGACTCTCTAATCCACTTGTACTACAACTTCTGGGGAGTATTTACCCCTGCTATGGAGCACCTATCATATCAGCTGGAAAATCAACTTTTGCATTTAACTTCCGAAAAAAAAACTTTTGCATTTTTTTGGCAACAAAATAAACGAATTTAGGGTTATTTTCTCAGCAAACAAATGCAGCCTCACATTAAAATTCAAATATCAGCAGGTACAAAAGACGAATCAAACAACTAAACTAATTCCTCCTCACAAACAAAATAAATAATTCCTACGTTTGGTTGCTAAACAAATTATTATAGAGATGCCAAGAAACAAAACTCATTACATGTTTCTTCACAAGCCCAACCTGTCATATTGTTCAGTGTCCTCCACAAATTCAACTTGCGCTACCTAATTTATAGCAGGCTGATGAACTTTATTTTCTTGGCCATTCAATAATGAAAAATCTTATGCAATTTTTTCAGCATCCAAGCAGAGCATAACTTAAAAATCCAATAAACCTTACCTAGCACGAATTGCTCGCATACTAGTCGGCTCATACCCAGTATACGACTGAGTACTATACTCAAAATCCGAATCCGGTCCCCCCGGACAATAAACACATATATTCCCAGTAGTGGCAATATGCGGACACCGGTGAGGCTTCGACATGACGGCCACCACCGCAATCCCCGAGGCGGTCCGAACCGGCTTTGCTCGGAGTTTGGGGAGGAGTGACTCGCGCTCTGACTCAGGTAGTGCGGCGATCATTTCGACGAGCTTAGGGGCGCGTGATAGGCCGTATTTGCGGCACGCGGCGGACTTGATTGCGTTGAGGTCGACGTTTTGGCCTTTGTGGGAGAGTTCGACCATCTGGTTCACGATTTCGCCAATTGCTCGGACTCGAGCTTCTTCTTCGGTGAGGTTATGGGAGATTACGCCGCCGCGGCCTGGGCGAGGGAGCTTTCGGGACTCGGCCACCGCCGCCGTCGCCATGGGAAGAGAGAGACGAAGAAACGCAAAGAAGCTTGTGGCTGAACGCTGATTGATTTTGCGCATGTAATTATATAGTGTGCCGCTTTATTAGAACGACGTCGTCGTATGACACTTTATACTTTGAGACAATATTACATTCTTAATTAATCAATATATATACCACTTTAAAATTACTAGAATCTATTTATATCTATCTATTTAAAATGTCAACAAATTCTTACTTTCTCATTAATCAAAATTTTCATCTTCCCATCATATCCTTCTCTTGCTGAGGTTCTCTTGATTTTCCATTAGTGACTGTTAGATCCTCAACATAATAAAAACTATCTATATATATCTATACTACTTTTAAAATGTGAGCACGAGTGAAAAACTTTTATTTGACAAAATTAACCTTATTAAAATAACTAACTGATACCACTTATATCCTACCTTATCACTCACTTACTGCTTATACATGTAAAGTGAATACATCTAAACCTTGTTCATTTCATCATCTTAATTAATATTTGTATGTATAAGGTCAGATTAATACTAGACTAGATAGATTCATTAATTTCCAACAATTACATAAAATGAGATTGGTGGCACATTAAATTCATCCAGTGTCCTATCTCTTTCACCTTCCTCTGCTACTGCTTCTCCCCTTGCATCCACAACTCAGTGAAAGAAAAACGGCCATCCTTCCCTCTCTTTACTGACCCTTAAGACTTTCGGCCTTCCCTCTACAACGTAAGTCATTCTCTTCTTGTCCAAAATTATTTAATTATAGGAATTCATTTACAAAAGTACCTGCCGTCAATTCACGTCTGAATTCCTTGCAAAAATAGTTTCCCATTACCCTTTGTCTTTGCTGCCAAACTAGCAAACTGCTTGAATGGGTGGTGCTTCTCTCTCTCGATCTCGATCTCGATCTCTTTTGTTGTGGAATTGAAGAAGGCGGTGTATTTGAAGGTTTTTTTATCACTTTAAACTTTTTTAACTTGATTTTATCATTTTTATGCCTAGAAACCATTTCATATTTGATTTTTTTTCGAATTTTGAGAAGAATGCTAATAAAATTGGATTTTTGAACTCCGTTGAGTTATATATTTTCTTCAATTTTTAATTGACATCTTTGTAATTTCATTCCATTAGCTTAACCTTTATTTATGTTCAAATCTTCACAGGAATCTGGCAAGGATTGTTAGGAGAGAGGACCCATATCAAAGGCCTTCTTTTCCTGCCACTGATTGTGAACCTCAATATTCAATCCATCAATCTCAAATTAAAAACATATATTCTACACTACAAGGTTGGTCTCTTCGATCATAAACTTGGTTCGAGTTATTCATGTAGAAAAAAAAAATTGCAGATTAGTTTGGCAAAGCAAACCCTCTTAGCTGCATTGTTTGTGCTGCTATGCATACTTCAAATCCTTGATCACCTCCTCTAATTGCACATTCTCTCCTAGGAGAAGTGGGTTGATGTGTTTTTATACTGGATAAAATGCTATAATTATAACCATAACTCTCTCATGATTCCTGAATCATGATGAAATAACTATAAAAGCATGATAGGCCAACTCGCAATTCAATTTGCTGGGTCTTGAGTTTTCCTATTGCATAATAACTACATGATCATCAATGTGTACACATGTGACTTATAGTCATTCCTGTTGGTTTGACTTCACATCTTTGTAGCTATCTTTTGATACCTTGTCTGGTCTGCCAAATTTTATTGCATATTAGCAAGGAGAAATTCGATTATGGGTTGTATAAATTGTTGAATGCTTGACGAATTTTCAAATTTATCCAATTCATAGAATCATTTATTTGGTTTTGTCTTTAAAATTTTTGGCTGAAACCAAGTATCTTAATCATCTTTTTTTTTTTACTAACTTAGTGAATCAAGTTCTAATTACTAACCTCATGTTATTTCCCTAAAAATAGCATCACGTAGAAGTCAAAAAACGAGTGCTAGGAAACGAATTAGAGATTGCGAGACATGAGGAGGAGTTGAAGTAATGTTAGCTTTCTTTATGCTGAACAATTGTATTTTTTCTTCCACATATACTTTATTTATAATTAGTCGGAGAAACCTTTTGCTAACTCTTGGTTTCCAAACTATGACTCGAAATGGTTGGCGTTGCACGTGTGCACTAACTTAAAAATTTGGCTACTTAACTTGGACAACTTTTGCTTTCTACTTTTACCCTAATTAATGCCATAAAACCAATGTTATCCTTCGTGTCTAAGAGTCCTTTTGTGGTTCAAATTTTTTTTTTTGTTTACTACTATAAAACCAACTTTATCGTTGGAGTCCACAAGTTATTGTGGTTCAAAAACAAATTTTGTTCTTTGTCGGTCATGATGAGGATCACATATTCAAGAAGCCAAAGAGACTACTTCTGAATTCAAAGACAATTTTTGAGAACTATATATTGTATTTCTCTAAATTAATTAATTTTTTGTACGAATTAGTGGTCATGATAATCTTAAGCATATATTTTACATGATTATTTTCATTTCATGGTACTGTAATTGTGTGGAATTTTTATTGATTTTTTTGTGTATTGCTTATGATTGATTAATACTATCTGCGTAGTTGTTCATGTTCAGTACTTAGTCTAAAAGTTGACTCTACAATTTCGTAGTAGACATAATGTAGAGGCTAAGTCGAATGAACTACGGACGTGTAAGTTTGTCAGCATGAGAGGTTACGTGAGGTTGGTAA